ACAAATAATCTTTCTCACCACTCCTGATCACCCCTTCCCTCCCACTTGTGGCTGTAGGACTGTAACTGCATGTATCCTTACGATTTATATTTATATGGACTGTTTCCTAGTATGATTTGATTGCTGATTGTACCCTCTGACTATCATTAAGTGTTGTACGTTGTGATTCTTGATTCTTAACTAACGTATCTTTTATTTTATGTACACTGAGAGTATTTACACCAAGGCAAATTCCTTGTGTGTCCAATCACACTTGGCCAATAAAGAATTCTTTTTTTTTTTCCAGTGAAGTGCACCTACTAAAATAAATTTAGAATTTTTTAAATACATTTAAAGACATTTTTTACATTTCCTTATCATCTTTCTATATACACATTTCTTTCATTATTCAATTTCAGCTTAATATATATAGATAGATATGAATATAGATGTAAGTATTTACATATTATAGTTTACATTTTGATTTCTTTTTATTCTTAAACCATTCATACCAGGCATCTCAGACATAATATATCGACTCTTCTTTGTCTCTTAATTCCATTGTTAGTCTGTCTATCTCTGTACAATCTAATTTTTTTTTTCTAAAAACATCTTCTGATGGTACATTTTCCTGCTTCCAAAATTGCGCATAGGAAATCCTAGCAGTTGTTAAGCTTTGTAGCATAATCTATTTATCTTTTTTATTATATTTTTCTGTTATTATGGCTAATAGAAATAGTTCTGGTTTGGGTTCAGTTTTCTATTTTGTTATTTCTTCTAGCCACAATCTAATTATATTCCAATATTTCTTGACCTCTGGGCAGGTCCACCACCTATGAAAATATGTACCTTTTTTTCCTTTTTACGCTTGCAACAGCTTGGGCATATCTATACATCTAAAATTGTCCTCCTTCCTTCTTTTCTTCCTCCCCAGCTCCCTGGGCCAACAGACCAGGTGCCCCTGGAAGCCACGAAGCCACCTGTCGCCGAGGCTGCAGAAGAAGAAGACGAAGAATCCTCTGCTCAGATACTCGATCCTGCGCAGATGACACCTTAGCCTCTGAGATGGACCCGAGGGTGCTTTTACTTGGCTGCCTCTTGTGAAGCTGCAGCACGAGCGAGGAGGGGAACAGCTGGCTCCATGGCGCGTTGTTCCTCAGGCGGTTTGTTCGCCAGCGGTTGTGAACAGTATCTACAAACTTGACAGTTGCCAACACTCCCTTTTTTGTCACAGAGGCCGGGCAGTCGTTTGCTGCTGCTGCTGCTTGACAGACCCCCCCTTCATCCGTCGGCCGTCTCTAGCCCCAATGAAGGGCGCGTGCCTCTCTGGCCCCCAGCCCTGGAGCCTGTGGAATTTGCTGGGAAGAAGAATGGAACTGGCGACGGTGATCTGCACCATCTTTCTCCTTGTGACTGCAGTATTGTGTGTTTTGACTGGTCTCGTTTGCCAATGGAGTCGGGCTGGATCCATGGAAGGGAGCGCCCGCCAAGTTCAGAAATCGTAGCCTTCCTTCCGTGTTCCTGACAAAACAGTGCCAATTGGCAGCTCGAAGCCCCCCCCAATAGTCCTTAAATTACACCCTGCCAGGGGACCCCCGGGGTCCTTTTGTCTCCCCCCCCTCCCCATGTCCCACCCCCAACGTCTGTTCAGGTATTGGAATCTGTGGTGCAGTATCAACCTTTCCTTTCCTCCCTCCCTTTTCCCGCCTCCCTTTTCGATTAGAAGGGGTTCTGCTCGACTTCCGTGTCCCGGAAAAGGGTAGAACCTTCCTTCTCACGAGCCGTGGGCCCAAGGGGCTGCTGGGAAAATGGGTCCCAAAGGCAGCGTTAATGCTCTGGAAGCAGAAGAGCCAGTGTTGTATGGGTAGAAAGTTTTTATCGCTGTACAGAGAAGACGAGTTGGGCTTTCGGTCTGTGACTTCTGTTACAGCCCATAATGTGTCTGTGCTCTAAGCTCTTTTGATCCAGTGCTGGAAGCTGCTTCGGGAAATACCTGACTAAATTATGACCGAATCCAGACCGTTGTGTGTTATTCAGTCGTCTCCCTCTGAATGTGCATTGAGAACCCACATGTCAGGGAAGCCCCGTGTGCTCTGAATTTGGGTGGGGTGGGCAGCGAGTCTGCAAACTTGGGCAACGTTAAGACTTTAAACTATGCTGGCTGGAGAATTCCGGGAATTGAAGTCCACCAGTTTTAAAGTTGCCAAGTTTGGGGACCCACCCCTGGGTTAGGGTTACGGGGAATCAGGACGCATCGTCTCTGCCCATAACCATATTGCAAAGGTACACTGTCCTATACGCTTCTGTGATTGTGCCAGTCGGAGGGGAAAAGGGAGATGAATATGTTTTTGAAGGATGTTTATCTCCTAGGTGATGGAAAAATAATGTTTGGTGGAGAGAGGAAGCTGGCTAAGAATCATTTCCCTTGGGGTTTATTTTTTCCCCCGCAAAAGAATGTTTGGGGGAGTGAATTTAAAAAGGAATGCCTGTTCTCTGAGTACAGTTTACAGGTAGCCCCCCGAGTTAAAACCACAATTGAGCCCAAAATTTATGTTGCTAAGTGAAACATTGAGTTTGCCCCATTTTACGACTGTCCTTTCCCACAGCTGTTAAGTGAATCATTGCATTTGTTAAGATAATAATATGGTTGTTAAGCGAATCTGGCTTCCCCCAATGACTTTTCTGGCCAGAGGTTTGCAAAAGCTGATCACATGACACCCGGGACACTGCCACTGTCATAAGTATGAACCAAGCACCTGAATTTGGATCACGTGGCCATGGGGATGCTGCCAAGGTCGTAAGTATGGAAAATGGTCACAAAGTCCCTTTTTTTCAGTGCCGTGGTCAACCCTGAAGCTGGCTTCAGCATTGCCACTTTAGAGCTGAGGAATTGCAGGGGGGGGGGCGGGGGGGGGGGGGGGGGGGGGAGATAGAGAGACCTGGGGTTTTGTAGCCAAAACAAAATACTTTCTCCTGGGAACCAAGGACGATCCCACAGGTGGTCAGAGAGAGGAGGAGTGAAGTTACCAGGCAACTGAACGGTTCCTTGATTGGACCATGTGACTGACTGACTGGGCAAGGGGGGGAAAAAACTTCTAATTAGGTGAAAACTGCGGGAACATTCAGAGTTGATTTTCCCCAGCTTGTGCCAATATGACATACCAAATAAAACTCTTCTTTTGAGGAATCATCCTGCCTTGGAGTTCCGTTTGCTATGGGTGTGTGACTTGGAACCCTGACATTAAACCGACTCTGAATGTTCCCGCGGTTTTCACCTTGCAACTTTGAATGGTCACTAAGTGACCTGTTGTAAGTCAAGGACTACCTGTAGTTAACCTCCTCTCTAGAGCGGGAAACAGAGAATGCCTGAACCTACTTCCCAGGAACATCTGTGGAGAGTCTCTGTCATCTGGGTCACGGTTGCCCCAAAAGGGCTTTTTCAAAGGGCAACTGGACGTTTTTTGCTTTTGAAGGCATTTGGCTTCTCGTCCAAGAAGCTTCTTCGGTTCTTCCTCTCGGATGAGAATCGAAACGCCTTCAAGTCAAAACAAAGGAAGTCTGGGTGCCTTTTGGAAAAGCCCCTTTGGGATACTTCCCAGGGAAGGTTCCCTGCTTCGGATCTGGAGAGAATCCCAGGAAAAACGCACATCTCGAATAATGCTTGGGAAGAGAATGGCAGCGATTAAATCTCTCACGGTCCTGCTGGCCTTGGGCACAGAGCTGTTGGCATTGCAGATCAGTAACGCTCCTGCCATATTTTAGAATAATGCCACCTGCCCTCCCCACCTGGTTCAATGCGTCACAGTAATAAACGCAGTTTCCTTCCTAATGGCTGCTATGATTGACCGGTGTGTGTGTGTGTGTGTGTGTGTGTGTACTGCATCCAGGTGGCATGGTAGCCTGCACGACTTCCGTAGAGGTGGTCTTCAGCAGGTTCTGGCCAGTTCTGGAGAAGGGGTAGTGGAAAGTTTGAGTCGTTCGGAGAACCAGCAAATCCCACCTCTGACTGGCCCCACCAACCCCGTCTATTCTCCCCCTCCCAGCTGATCGGCTGGGTCTCCTTTGGTTGCCCTGCACGGGAGAATGGAGCTGGAAAGCAGGTTAGTGGGGTGGGGAGGGAACGGGGATTTTGCAGTAACCTTCCCCTGCCACACCCACAGAACCAGTAGTAAAAAATTTTGAATCCCACCACTGGGCTTCCTCCTCTCTCTACGCCCCGTTGTGGAAAGACAACACAACTGTTTTTCCAGTGTGTCTGTCCATCCTTGTGTCAAGAGCAGAAAACGCTGCTGGTGCTTTTCCCTGTTTAAGATACCATTTTTCATGTTCTGTGGCAGGTTATTCCATAAATGGGCTAATGTTAACTATTTAGTATGTCCACCTCTGGTTTCCATGAACATTTTGAAAATTGTGTCCTGAGTTTTGTTCGTGTGACCTGGCCTCAGGTGGCCCCTGCTGCTCACCTCCGTTCTGCAGCTAGGCCTGGGCACTCCTGTTTCTGTGCCAGATTCAGAATTCCCCGAAATTGCTCCTTTTTGTACATTGCCCCATTTTTGATATAACCAAGAAAGTTGTTCTTAAGCAGACCAGCCCTGGGTGCAGAGCAGAAAAAAATCTCCTCTCTTTTGCTGCTAGTTTTCAAGTTCAGGCCTGCTTCACTGTTCTCCAAAACCTGTCTTTTGAAATCTTGGACCCTTTTTTGGGGGATGAAGCCTTAAGGGGGATTCGCTACCTAGTTGTACTTCATAATAGAGGCCTGGGCCTATTGTGTTTCTTTCTTTTTTCTTTCTTTTCTTTTCCTTCCTTCCTTTTTTCTTTCTTTCTCTCTTTCCCTTCCTTCATCCCTTCCCTTTTTTCTTTTATTTTTTCTTTCCTTTTCTCCCTCCTTCCTCTTTCTTTCCTTCCTTTCCTCCCTTTTTCTTTTTTCTTTCCTTTTCTCCCTGCTTTCCTTCCTTCCCTCCCTTTTTTCTTTCCTTTTCTCCCTCCCTCCCTCCCTCCCTTCCTTCCTCCCTCTGGCAGCAGAGGAATATTTTACCTTTTAGTTTTTCTTTAAAAAAAACAACAACACAGACATGCAGGGTCGGCTCTATACGCTGAAGATAAATGTGCTTTATTGGAAAGATTGGTACTAGGAGTGAGTGCTTGCCATTTCTCAGAGTAAGCCAGTTTAGAAATTGCACCTGTCTGTCCTTCAGCTGCAAGAAACCTAGCTATTTACAATAAAACAGATCTGCTGGAAAAGAAACAGAGCAGAGTCGTCCCCGTCCCCCCCCCCACGTGCCTTTCTCAACCACAGACTTGGGACCCTCTTCTCTGTGATGGGAGGATGGAAGAAGCCAGACGCTCCAGAGGTTGCCTTCAGAAGTTCATGGTTCCATCTCGGTGCTGGTGTTTAGATACCGTGCAGAGCTGGTGGGGGCAAGCAGGCACCCTTTGCAAGAGAAGCCCGGGGCGCCCGGAGGCAGAGGCGAGTCCGGTGGCTTCTGAGGAAGTCTCAAGGTAGCGCCTGCTGGCCGCAGGCAGAACTCTGGCAGAGGAGCCCCTGGCGTGCAAGAGTGTGGCAGCGGAGTCTTTTGGTTCAAGTGATCAGGGAGGATTCTGGATCCGAAGCTTCTCTTTAATTTACCAGCCAGCACTTGCCGGCTGTGAAGCATTTGGGCCTGAAGCAGTTGTCTTTCGGGGTAGGGAGGAACCAAGGCTTGTTCCTGGAACAATGGCTTGTGCTTGCCAGCCAACCGGGCCTCCTGATGCAGAGAGCGGAGGAGGAGGAGCCTTCCCCTCAGCCCAAAGTGGCCAGAGAATGGCACGGTAGCCCTTCCTCAAGCTTTCCGTCTTCTTCCCTCCCGCTGTCCGAGGTCTCCGCCCCTTCAAAACAGCCGGAATCGCGGGGAATGTCTTCTTTGAGCTCTCCGGGAAATAACTGGCCCTCCAAGGTGCCTCCTTCCTCTTCGGCCTCGCTGCTGGCTGTGAGAAGAGAGAAGCCAGCGGTTTTTAAAAAAAAAGGGGGGGAAGAGTTGGACGAGGCCAATAGTGTCCCTGGGTGGAGAGGGAAGAAGGATGCTTTGGCCTCAGTTGTCCCCGGGTGCTTCGTCACTGGAGGCTTTTAAGAAGAGACTGGACTGCGGCTTGTCTGAAATATAGTACAGCATCTCCTGCCTGTGCAGAGGATTAGAATAGAATAACAAGAGTTGGAGACCTTGGAGGTCTTCTAGTCCAACCCTCTGCTCAGGCAGGACACCCTACCCCACCTCAGACAAACGGTTGTCCAATCTCTTCTTAAAAACTTCCAGTGTTGGAGCATTCGCAACTTCTGGTTGCAAGTTGTTCCACGGATTAATTGTTCTGACTGTCAGGAAATTTCTCCTTCATTCTAAGTTGCTTCTCTCCTTGATGAGTTTCCACCCATTGCTACATGTCCCGCCCTTTGGACTAGAAGTCCTCCAAAAGGTCCCTTCCAGCTCGGTTCTGATCCATTGGGTGAGGAACAGAAGTTTCTGTAACCAGGCTTGGGACGAGCAGGAGCTCATGGTCAACACTGGGACCACCAAACAATTCCACGGTGGGGCCTCTCTCTATGGAGCCATGTTCACGTGCCATAGGAAGCTATTATTTCAAGGTTTGTAATGGTTCACCCCCGAGGTCCCCAAACTTGGCAACTTGAAGACTTGTCGACCTCAAAGCTAGGCTGGCTGAGGAATTCTGGGAGTTGTAGTCCACAAGTCTTAAAGTTGCCAAGTTTAGGGACCTGTTCTGACCCAAACCTGGTTCAAACACGAGACAAAGGTAATAGCACAACCTTTTAATGTTTCATTTATGAATTCCGTTTCTTCATAGATAAAAGCCAGCTTCCAACTAATTAGCTCCAATAAGAAAGAGCCTTGCCAAAACTTCTGCCAAGAACACCAGATAAAGTTACTAAACAATAAATCAAAGAGTCTCCAAACACCAACTCAGATATTCCTAATATCCACCAGGCTCAAGTATCAAATTTCTTTGCCTTCTGCAAAGAACTGCGGTTTCTCAGCTGGCTTCTCAGGGAGGGCCTTACTCTTGAGTTGCCCGTGCTGCTGCAGCTGCTCTTTCCTTCGAGCAGTCCTGCGCGTATGCGCACTGGGCACAGGCTCCTCGGGGACCTCTTCATCACTGCTGCCAGCTTCCACCATCTCCAAAGGCAGCACTCCACTCCCTGATGGTCCTGGCCCCATCCTTGCATCACACGCAGGCCCCTCATCTGAGTCCTCGCTCTCCGAGACCTCAGCCGTCCACACCTGCTGCCGGCAAACTACAACAGGATCCCTGGTCCACCCCATCATTGTCTAGTCTGATTTATCAATTTGGTTTCACGTCACAGTGTGATGAAGGAAGAAAACCCTGTTGGAGGGCAAAGGGCACTTACTGTCATAATCCAGCAGTAGATCGGCCGCTGTAAGCAGCTTGGTGCGATGCTGTGGGTCAGTGATGTTCAATTCATTCAGGTGGTTCTCTTGCAGTTCCTTGAAGTCCTCCACGGTCTGGTAACCATTTAGTAACAGTGTAGAGGTGTGCTCCTGAGGGGGAAGAGACACAGTCCCATTGTAATACTTGGGATAGATTACCTGGGTAGGAAGGATTTGCTGTTATTGCTGTCCCTGTAATAGCAATAACACTTATCACTTCACCGTGCTTTGCAGACCTCTCTTAAGTGGTTTACAGAGTCCTCAGCACATTGCCCCCAACAATCTTGAGTCCTCATTTTACCGACCTCGGGAAGGATGGGAGGCTGAGTCAACCTTGAACTGGTCAGGGTTGAACTGCTGGCATTGGGCAGAATTATCCTGCAATAATGCACTCTAACCACAGGGAGAGAAGGAAGGGAGGGAGGGAGGGAGGGAGGGAGGAAGGAAGGAAGGAAGGAAGGAAGGTAGGTAGGTCAATAGCAATAGCACTTAGATTTATATACCACTTCACAGTGCTTTACAACCCTCTCTAGACAGTTTACAGAGTCATCCTATTGCCCCCAACAATCTGGGTCTTCATTTGACTGACCTCGGGAAGGATGAGCGCCTGGGTCAACCTTGAGCCGGTCAGGGTTGAACTCCTGGCAATGTGACAAGTTAGCCTGCAATACTGCAACCTAACCACTGCACCACCAGGAAGGAGAATGAGAAAGGGAATAAGAGCGAGGGAGGGAGGAAAAGCCATGGCACTTAGACTTACACGCTGCTTCACAGTGCTTTGCCGCATTCACTAAGCAGTTTACACAATCAGCATGTTGTCCCCCGGGGTCCCCATTTGACCGACCTCCGAAGAACGGAAAGCTGAGTCAACCTTGAACCAGTCAGGATCGGAGGACTCAGATTCCTGGCAATGTGAGCCAAGCTAGCCTGCAAGGCTGCATTCTAACCACTACGCCACCAGGGCTCTTGGTGAACGTAGGAGTGACTTAAGTCCTACGTAGAGGATTTAGAACTGGGCGTGGTCCTCCAGAGATTGCAAAATGTAATACTCATTACTTGGGTATTACAATCCCAATTCACACCATCAAGAAGAGCCCGAGTTCTGCTTTCGTTTCATACAATGAAACATAGGATCCCGCTGTGAGGCATGGCATATCGGGAGGGGAGGGGGCTGGATTTGGCCACCATGTAATATTTGGAACCACTGTGGGAGGGGCGGGTGGGGGGGGGTAAGGAAAGTTAGTCTACCAAGATCCTGGGTCCTTTGTACAGCATCTCAAGGAGAAAGACTCTGCCGAAGGATTAAGTCCTATATTGGAACGATGTATGTAGAGAAGAGAAGAGCAAATCAGATTCAATTTTGATTGAGGAAGGCATTCAACAGCTCAAGCTATCAGCCCAATAAGGGGAATTGTGCATCCTCTACTATAGATGAGACCTGAGCAAACTTTTTGGGAAGAGGGGCCCGCCCAGGCGTGGTCTCGTGAAATGAGCGCAGAGGAGCCATTCGCTCTGCATCGCGTTATTTTTGCGCCGAATATGAGAATTAGCAGTCTCCATCGCAGCCATGATGGAGCTGTTTTCATGCTTTTGGGAGAAGAAATCACATTTAATGTGATTATGTAGATTGTTTGCTAGCCAACCCTGTAGAGAACCAGGGGTATAAGGATTCCGGTAACTGTTTTCCAAATGTTTGAATTGGCTGTTTTTCAGGTTGCATTTAGAACTTTACATTTCTAGTTCTGTATCAAACAAAAGGTGTGGGAGAAAATTGCTTCTTAAATACTTTAAAAAAAAAAATCCAGAGAGGCTGCAGCAAAACAAGTATAATTGAATGCTAAATGCTACCCCATTAGAAATAGATTTTAACGATCCAAGACTGTTTTTTTAAGAAAAATAAGTTGTGGTTTAATCAACCTCAGATAACAGATTAGGCCTTATTTATCTTTTAAGATACCAAGCCTAATATTTTCAGGCAGAGGATTTGAAAAAAAACAAAAAACAGACAAGGCAAGCACCTGTATTTAGCGAGTAGATATATCTAAAGAAATAGTTTTTCTCTTTTATGAAATATTTACCCTGCTGCTAATTGCAGTAGCTAGAAATGGGTATCAATATATCGTTCTCCTGTGATTTTTCTTGCCATGTTTCTAGATGAAACTTAGGCAGGCATCCATTCTCCTACTCTTTGAAGAGCTTGAAACATGGATGAGGTCCAAACCTTGGCCCCACACAAGCCATTCCTTCAGTTCCCCTTTAATATTACAAGAGATGTTCAGCAAATGGACCAATGCCATTTCCTGTTGATAAAGTATTGTCCTGGCCAGGCACGCTATCATGGCGTTGAAGGTGATGAGTAACACTCCTCTGATGCATATGAGGCAGAAGAATGCTGGAAACTTCCTAACCCAGGTCAAACCCATTTAGTTCTGCTGAATGCATGTATTGGCCTTGGTTACCTTAGTCCTCAGCAATTACCAAGAGCATGGCCATCATCAACCTCTACTTGCTAATCGAGAATGACTACCCACCATGATCTTTCAACCAGATCTCCCATAGCTTCACCGAGAGATGTCAGGAATTAGAACCACCTCTGCAATCCATGTAGTATGAAGTAAAGGTAAAGGTTCCCCTTGCACCTATGTGCTAGATGTTTCTGGCTCTAGGGGGCGGTGCTCATCTCCATTACAAAGCCGGAGTGCCAGCGCTGTCCGAAGACGTCTCCGTGGTCATGTGGCCGTCATGACTTAAACGCCGAAGATGCACAGAACGCTATTACCTTCCCACCAAAGGGGTTCCTATTTCTCTACTTGCATTTTTTACGTGCCTTCGAACTGCTAGGTTAGCAAAAGCTGGGACAAGTAGCAGGAGCTCACGCCACTACACGGCACTAGGGATTCAAACCGCCAAACTGCCGACTTTTCCGATTGACAAGCTCAGCATCTTAGCCACTGAGCCACTGTGTCCCACCATGTAATATACTACTACCTAATTAGAACGATTATCTTCTATGGGTATGTCTAGTTTAATGAAAAGGAGGACTGGGGTGACATGATAGCAGTGTTCCAAAATCTCAGGGGCTGCCCCAAAGAAGAGGGAGTCAAGCTCTTCTCCAAAGCACCTGAGGGCAGGACAAGAAGCAATGGGTGGAAACTGATCAAGGAGAGAAGCAACCTAGAACTAAGGAGAAATTTCCTGACAGTGAGAACAATTAACCAGTGGAACAACTTGCCTCCAGAAGTTGCAAATGCTCCAACATTGGAGGTTTTCAAGAAGAGGTTGGACAACCATTTGTCTGAAAAGGTATAGGGTTTCCTGCTTGAGCAGGAGGTTGGACTAGAAGACCTCCAAGGTCCCTCCCAAGTGTAATTATTCTGTTGGTGCTTCCAACCTTCCATTTTCCCCACCACAACCACCCTGTGAAGTAAGGTTGGGGCTGAAAAACAGACTTGCCCAAAGTCAACCACCTGGCTTTCTTTTCTAAGTGGGGGGGCTAGATGTCCTACCGAGTCCTTTCCCCACTTTGCCTGTTAGTGCTTCACTGTCAGGGCAACATTCCCACCCAGGGGTAGGCCTCAAAATTTTTAAGCAATGGGTTCCCTGCTGGGTGGGTGTGGCCTAGTCAGCCTCCTGCACCATGGCGGGAAGGGGGAGAGGTTGCCCTCCCCGGACTCCAGAGGCTTTCCTTGGGCCTCTGGGAGGGCAAAAATGGCCTCCCCGAGCTCCAGAGGCTCTCTGGAAGCTGGAAACGGGCCCATTTCCGGCCTTCTTGAACTTCCAAGAGGCCCGTTTTTCGCCCTCCCTGAGTCTCCGCACTCATCCTGCACTTACCTGCATCCGAAATGGCCCCGTGTGGAGACTCCTGGGAGGGGAGGGGCCGGCCAGGCGTGGGATTTGGGGGTTCTCCAAACTGCCTAGAATCTTAGCTAGGGGCTCCCCTGAACCTCTGCAGACCCCCAGCAGCTCCACTCCTGTTCCTACCTCAAGGTTCATCCGTTGCAGTAGCTCTTGCAAGCTTTTGGGCTTCGGCCTTTTGCTCCTATGCCGCGAATAAGTCTTTGCAACCGAGACGGTCTCTTCAGGGATGATGCTGACATAGATAAATTTGAAGGAGCCCACTTTCTCGTTCAGAAGGCCGGTCCAGGTGCCGACGGGAGGTTTTGAAATGATGTGGATGATGTCCCCTTTCTGTGCCAAAAATGCCACCTCGTTAAAAAAACAACAACAACCTTCTTTCAACCAGATCCTAGGCTGGTTGTACAATTCAGCACCCTCATGGTTCATTCTGCATGTCACAATGGGCTAGCTTTGCACAATGTGTTATGGCCCTAAGCTGTGGTTTACAAGCTTGATTCATGCAGCACAGGAAACTCAAATCAAAACATGCTACGGGTTCGTATGACGCTTATTCCTAAGAAGAAGTGGGGTGGGGGGTGAGAAAGCCACACATTTCCAAAAGCATGCTGTGTTGCAACGTGGACTGCTGGAGAACAGCAGTGTGAACCTTCAAGAGAACTAAACTACTCTTCCCGTAGCTATTTCTCTACAATGCATCGGAGTAATAATAGATCCTGCGCATATTTCCTTCATGAAATCAGCGCGATATCTTACAGCATGGGGGTCCAACCTTGGCAATTTTAAGACCTGCGGACTTCAAGGCTCAGAATTTCCCAGCCAGCCAGGAAGTGAAATTAAATCTCCCAAACAATGACCACCGCAAAGTTCTTATTAAGCCCAATATTCTAAGTGGCCTAGCACTGTTTCTGGACTGGAAGACCCTCTTCCTTTCCTGCGTATAATCTTCCTGTGATTTTTCTCCTCCGGCTTTTGTTCTTTTTCTTGCCTCTGACTTATGGAGCTGCTGAACAAAACTCCTCACTGGTGACGGGAAGGGCACCCAGCCAGTAAACACTCAACTCCACTCAGTTGCCCAGACTCCACCCCGCACGGGGTTATGGGGTTATTAAAAGAAGAAGATGGTTCTATATGAGATGGACCTTATCTCTGGAATATTATATCTGGTTCTAGACATGGTAAACCAGAACGGGTTGAGGAAAGAACTACCAGAGGCCAGAAATTTGGGGAGAAGGAGTACCTGCCCTGTTTTGTTTTTTTTTTTTCACTTGTGTCATTAGGAACACTTTTGGAAAGCTGCCTAAAGAAACGCAAAGCACCCACCTGAAGTTTCAGAGAGTCCTTATCATAGGGGCTGGGAATAAAATCTGTGTGAACCTTGGCTTTTCCACAGAAGGGCCCGTTGTATGGGGTCGAGATGGCCTCTTCCTTGCTGCCGAGGCTGCATGACATGGGACTGAACAATTCCCTTTCTGGAGGGGGAACAAGAAAAAAATGTTAGCTGACTCAATAGAAGCATGGAAACAGTTTAATACAGCTAGTCCTGGACTTACAACAGTTCATTTAGTGTCCTGTTCCAAGATAACAGCATCACTGAAAAAAGTGACTTTATCACCATTTTTCGCGTGTCATTGCAGAAATCTCCACGGCAACCCAGAGAGTTGGCAACTGGCTCGTATTAATGATGGTTGCAAGGTCCCAGGCTCCTGTGATCCCTTTTTGTGACCGTCAGATGAGCAAAGTCAATGAGGAAACCAAATTCACATAACAGCCGTGTTACTAACTTAACAACAGCAGTGATTCACTTAACAATTGTGGCAAGAAAGATCATAAAATGGAGCAAAACTCCCTTAACACATGTCTCGCTTAGCAACATAAATTTGGGGCTCAATTGTGGTCATAAGTGGAGGACTCTCTGTACTGAGTTTGGCTTAGGGCGAGTTTCTCCCTCCTACGAGCCATCAGAATCATTTCTCTGCACGTGTAGTTCTAGGTTTTGTTAAGTAACATTTGCGCTTCATTCTATATTGAGAATGTATCGGCTGAACAAAATTCCTCATTGGTGACAGGAAGGGCACCCGGCCCGTAAACACTCCAGCTCCATTCAGTTGCCCGCATGGGATTATGGGATCCTTAAAAGAAGAAGATGATTCTATATTAGATGGACCTAATCTCTGGGATATTATATCTGGTTCTGGACACGGTAAACTAGAACCGGTTTAGGAAAGGATGATCAGAGGCCAGAAGCTGAATCTTCTGAAGACAAGGAGAGAACAGGGATGGCTTAGTCTTGAGAAGGAAGGAAGGGGCAGATAGATCTTTTCAGATATTTGAAGACTGTCCAGACTTCTCTCATGGCCCCCAACTGCAGGATATAGAATAAGGGATGATGTTACAGGAAGGCAGATCCCTACTGAACAAGAGCATCTGTGTGAGCATGTAGCGGACTACCCAAGACCACAGATGGGCCCCCTCTCTGTGGAATATATTCACCGTACAGACCAGACAATCTTCTGCTTCGAATTGGATTCAAGAAGAGATTGGACTGCCACCTGTCAGAAATGGTGTAGGGTCTCCCACTTGGGTGGGTGGGGGTTGGACTAGATGACCTACAAGGTCCCTTCCAACTCTGATTATCTGTATCTGGATTCCTGCACACGGCAGCTGATTGGATTCAGTTGCAACTGCGCCATATCTCCTCCTGGGTGAGAGTCTGCCTGGTTGGGAATGCATTTGCTGGACATTTCCAAAAAAAAAGGGGGGGTCAGGTCAAATTAAGGAACTGGACAGGAGACCACCAGAAACTCCCTGAGTTACAGCGGAGACTCAGAAATGGCAAAACATCCCCAAAGAAGCCAGAGGCAGAAGCCACTTCCCTTTTGTGGTCAAGAAGAACCTCACCAGCAAGGCTGAGGAGCCTTCAAGAGCTGAAGTCAACACCTAGGAATCTCTTACCGGCCCTTCTTACTCAAGGAATATTTGCTTCTGCTAAGTAAAAATGCTCAAGTGCCAGAGAAGCACAGGACTTCCTCTGTGATGTTCAGTTGCTTTACGTAAAAAATGGGAACGAGGCCTTGTTCAGAATAGACCCCAATTTGCACCGGTGTATAGTCTATCCCAAGGTTTACCACTTCCACGCACGGTAGGCCTTAAATCAAGGTTACACTGAAGGTGAGTGAGCCGTTTTACCGTTGGAGGCACTGGGGCTGTTAGTCTCCTGGTTTGTAACCGGAAAGGTGGGAAGGTCTTCTTCAACAAGACTGTTGGCTGGAGACGTAGGAGTGTCCGATTCATCGTGTCCCTGCAAGATGAACATGAAACCATGGTGAACTCTTTCTTCCCAAGATAGAAACTCAGTTGGCCATGGTTGCAGAGGTGGCATTCAGCAGGTTCTGACCAGTTCTGGAGAACCGGTAGCGGAAATTTTGAGTAGTTTGGAGAACCGGCCAATCCCACCTCTGACTGGCCCTGCCCCTATTTATCCTCCGCCTCCCAAGTGCCAGCTGATTGGCTGGGTCTTCTTTGGTTGCCCTGCACAGGAGAACAGAGCTGGAAAGCAGGTTAGTGGGGTGGGGAGGGAATGGGGATTTTGCAGTATCCTTCCCCTGCCATGCCCACCAAGTCACACCATGGCCACCAAGCCATGCCTAAAGAACTGGTAGTAAACATTTTTGAATCCCACTACTTCATGGTTGCTATGTTTGACCCTTGCTTCCTTTGAAGGGCTACCCTCCACGACCTCCAGGCATGTTCTGGGAGGAAGAGGAAGAACATGTTGCACACACAACAGTGTTTAAAAAGAAGGAACTACACATTTCATACTCCATGGGTCAACAGGTTGCTCTAAATAATTACTATTATTCTTGTATTACTATTATCCTCTTCATCCTTTCTATTACCTATCTCTTTCCACTTATGACTATAACCGCGTTGTTTGTATCTTTACAATTTATATTGTTTTATTTTTTTCCTAGTATGATTTGATTGCTTATTAGTAACCTGTGACTATTACTAAGTGTTGTATCTTATGATTTTTGAGGAATGTATTTTATTTTTTCTTTATGTACCCTGAGAGCATATGCACCAAAGACAAATTCTTTGTGTGTCCAATCATACTTGGCCAATCAAGAATTCTATTCTATTCCTATTCCATTCTATTCTATTCATTCTTCATTCCATTATCTATTCTATGCTATGCTATGCTATGCTATGCCATGCCATGGGGATTCAAATTTTTAACAACCGGTTCTGTGGGCTTAGCTTAGTTGGTGGGCGTGTCTTGGTGGTCATGTTATTGGCTGGGCGTGGCCAACTCAATATCACTCACATCGAGGCATGCATCTCCTCGCTTGGCTTCTCATGACTGTGGGGATGCTGCAACAGTCGTAAGTGTGAAAAATGGTCATAAGTCACTTTTTTCAGTGCCATTGTAACTTTGAATGGTCACTCCACACAAGCAAAGTACCAGCAAAGGAGTGGAAAAAAATACTCCAGAGACGTTCCTGTAACAGGAACTCTAGTCCTGCCAAGAATGTAATAAGGGTTAACGGAGAGGCAGTTTCTGTAAGCAACACCAGAATGTTTCCTTCCTGCCTTCCTTACAGGATTAGCCCTGTAATTTCTTCCAACAACTGATTCTCCAAACTGCTTAGAATGTTAACAACCGGTTCTAGTGAATAGGTGCGAACTGGTAGAATCCCACCCCTGGACATGAGTGACTGTTGCAGGCACCTTCCTGGGAGCTCCTCGTTAATCATTTGCAGCATGATACTTGAGTCTCATCCTCTCTTCTACGGACTGGCCAAACCATTGCCCAGCTGTGCTTGGCATGGGAGGGGAACAGTGAGATTTGGGGATATGAGACAGAACCATGACACAAAACAAAAGGAACTGTTTCATGGGGTAGAAAGCGGATTTCATTTCGTGTAAACACCCTTCAATCTATTTTAGACTATTAAAGAAAAGAGGCACCTTCGCGCTGCGGTTGGGTGCAAATGGCTTCAGTATAAGGTAGTCATAGAAGCCCGTGTCCTGGGTTTGGTTACCTGCTGAAGTGCTCACGAGCCGAACCTGCACGACTTTACTGTTGCATGCTCTTTTTTTTTCTGCTTTCACAAAACCACACAGAAAAGGAAGTGCGTGTGTGTGTGTGTGTGAGAGAGAGAGAGAGAGAGAGAGAGGGAGAGAGCAAGAGAGAGAGCATGCAAATAGGCTCAGAGGAAGAAGTTAAATGCTGGGCAATGGTGAGATAGTGAGACGTTTTGGAAGGAGGCATCTTGTACAATTCTCTTGCTCAAACACATGAAGACACAGCATGGAGTGGACATGGCAGAGGTGGTCTTCAGCCAGTTCTGACCAGTTCTGGAGAACCGGTAGCGGAAATTTTGAGTCGTTCGGAGAACCGGCCAATCTCACCTCTGGCTGGCTCCTCCCCCATCTATTCTCTGCCTCCCATTGAATCCCAGCTTATTGGATGGGTCTTTTTTTGTTGCCTTGCACAGGAGAACGGAGCTGGAAAGCAGGTTAGTGGGGTGGGGAGGGAATGGGGATTTTGCAGTATCCTTCCCTTGCCACGTCCCCAAGCCACACCCACCAAGACATGCCACATCCACCAAGCCACGCCCATAGAACCAGTAGTAAAAAAAATAACTGAATCCCGCCACTGGTCCACCGCTTTGCCTCTCACCTGATCTGCCAATGCTTTAGCCACTGCCTTGCCCGTCTTCCGGTTCATGGTGCGGGTAATGACGGATCTCCATTTCTTGCCCAACTTTGAGCGCCCCACATCATCTGGGCTCGGTGGTGAGTTGGACTCGTTGTCTTTAAGAACCTGCAGAAAGAACCAAGGACCTTGGCTTTCCAGGAAGGGAGACGATGACTCCTTATTGGGATTGGGATTGGATGAATTGAGTTCAGAAATGGACCCTTCTTAGCGTGGGACACTAATTTTGGACTCCATATCAAATTGAGTCTGCCTTTCAGAAAGCAAAGAGTTTGGCCAACCGGTGGACTACAACTATAAAGTACCCCTGAATTTACCACTCGTGTAATGATCGTTTGAAGTTAAGATGAGGTTGAAAAAAGTGACTTACGACCAGTCTTGCCCTTCTCAGTGCCGTCATAGTGCAGATTTAAAAAAATCGGATGCTTGGCAACGTGTGTTTACCGTGATGGAAGCATCCTGGGGTCACGGGATCCTCATTGGTGATCTTTCCAGTTGACTTCCAACAAGCAAAGCCAACGGGAGAAACCAGATTTATTTAATAATTAATGGTGTGATTTGATTAATGAGGGGTGCCCCCGCCCAAAAAGTCATCAAATTGGCCACGGTTATCGCTTAGCAACGGATGGAAGTTCCCAGTCTTGGTTGTAAAAGTGGAGAACTACCTGTAAGGTTAGAGCAATGGAGAAGGTAAAGATACGGTCGGGAGGGACTGACTACTGATCATAGAGGGACATGGGCCAGCATTGGTGACGATGAGAAGCGCACAAAGCCGTCACTTGAAAGGGCAGCAGAGAGGAGCCCAAGGTTTGGGGGATGGATGGGGTGTTACCAGGGGTGGGCTTTAAAAAATTTAGCGACAGGTTCTCTGCCCGGTTGCTGGGTGGGCGTGGCCATGGTGGGTGTGGCCTAGTCAGCCTCCTGCACCACGGCTCTCTCTGTGTGTGTGTGTGTGTGTGTGTGTGTGTGTGTGTGTGTGTTTGCCCTCCCCGGGCTCCGGAGGCTTTCCTCGAGCCTCCAGGAGGGTGAAAACAGCCTCCTTGGGCTCTGGAGGCTCTGGAAACTGCAAATGGGCCCATTTCCGGCCTTCCCAAACTTCCCGGAGGCCTGTTTTTTGCCCTGCCGACCCTCCATGTATGTCCTGCACTTACCTGCGTCCAAATCGGGCTGCATGGGGGCTCCTGGGAAGGACGGGTTGGGGTGGGCGGGGCCAGCCAGGATTGGGATTTGGGGATTCTCTGAACCGCGCAAAATCTTAGCTAGATGATCTCTCAAACCCCTGGAAACCCTCAGCAGCCCACCCACCCCTGGCTTGTTACCTCTTCCTCTTCGAGGCTGAATGCCTTGTTGACCGCCAGCGGGGAACTGGGTTTGGATTTGGCAAAATCCTTGAAACTGCTGGACCGCTGTAGCGACAGCTGTGGGCAGAAGGCAGAGACGGTCAGGAATAGAATGGATTGCAGAGCAGAAAAAGCCAACGGGAATCTTGGAGCTCTCTCCGCCATTATTTATTTCGTTTCATTTATGGAGCTGCCCAGCTCAGGTCTGTGGCTCTGGGCGACTCACGGTCCTCTCAGTTAGAGGGATTAGCAGATGGAGCTGCAGCTAGAAGTGGCTGGAGTTGCCAGGAGACCATTATTCTTTTGCCTCCTCCATCCCTCGTTGCCTCTTACACGGGAAGGCACACGTGTGTGCAAAGATGTGTCCCCTTTCCCCAGAAGAAGAGGCAGTCAATCAGTGATCTGGATGATGCAGAAGGTTATGTTAAAAAATATGAAGTTCTACTTCCCCACCTCCGTTTCCTCCAAAGCGGTTCCTGTAGCTGAAAATACACACATTTTGCTGCCTTCCCCACCCCATTGTTTATTTATTTATCTATTTTTATTTTATTTTATTTATTTTTGTCAATTGCTTACAAGATAATAGGTATAAGTAAAAACATAGTTATGAATTCACGGATGCATATAAGAAAAATTAAAAAATAAAAATAAAAGGAACAATAGGACAGGGACGGTAGGCACGATTGGTGCGCTTATGCACGCCCCCTTCAGACCTCTTAGGAAAGGGGTGAGGCCAATAGTAGAAAGTCTAAGGTTAAAGTGTTTGGAACCGGTCACTTTTTCAGATTAGAAAGTCCTTGGGACCAGGTCCTGTTCTATGGTGTACCTGCCTATCTGCCGATGGAGGGATGATGATAATAATGAGGGTTATGTTTTAAGGAAGAACAGGTTAAAACCCAACCCGGAACGAGGATTTTGACATGGTGGAATTATGACTCAGTATCAGAGAAGGCCTTTGAACTCTGGTGCTGGAGAAGATCCTGTGAGTCCCTTGGACTGCAAGGCCATCCAACCGGTCAGTGCCAGAGGAGATCCACCTTGACTGCTCCTTAGAAGGCCAGATCCTGAAGATGAAACTCAAATACTTTGGCCACTTCATGAGAAGGAAGGACTCCCTGGAGAAGAGCCTAATGCTGGGAACGACTGAGAGCAAGAGAAGAAGAAGGGGACGGCAGAGAAGGATGGCTGGATGGAGTCACTGAAGCAGTTGGCGTGAGCTCAAATGCACTCCAGAAGATGGTAGAGGACAGGAAGGCTTGGAGGGACATTGTCCATGGGGTTGCAATGGGTCAAATACGACTTCGCAACTAACAACAACAAATCAGACAAGGAAAGAAGACTTCTTAGGAAGGGTGAATTCTGGAAGATAGTTAATTAAAAAGCCAATGTGGTCTGGTGGTTAAAGTGCTGGGATAGGAGTCAAGTCCACTCTCATCCACAGAAACTCACCGGGTGATCCTGGACCATTTGCTCCCTTTCAGCTCAAACTCTTGCAAGGGACCAAGGAGAAAACATCATGGAAGAGGGATCACTACGCGGACTCCCTTGCTCCTGAATGAAAGGCTGAACAACAGGGTTGGAAAGGACCCCGGAGGTCTTCTAGTCCAACCCCCTGCTTAGGCAGAAAACCCTACACCACTTCAGACAAATGGTGGTCCAATGTTTTCTTAAAAACCTCCAGTTTTGGAGCATTTGTAACTTCTGGTGGCAAGCCGTTCCACTGGTTAATTGTTCTAACTGTCAGGAAATTGCTCCTTAGTTCTAAGTTGCTTCTCTCTTTGATTAGTTTCCACCCATTGCTTCTTGTCCTGCCTTCAAGTTGCTTTGGAGAATAGCTTGACTCCCTCTTCTATCCTGTCACCCCTAGTCCTTCTTTTCATTAAACCAGACATACCCAATGTCATCAACCATTCTTGGTACGTTTTAGCCTCTCGTCCTCTGATCATCGTTGTTGCTCGTCTCTGCACTCTTTCTAGAGTCTCAACATCTTTTATGTTGCGATGACCAAAACTGGTGGGCAGCCAATCTCATACATGCGTGAAGGTTAAAGCTTTTGATGCTGTTTCAAATAGCATCTTGCCTCTGCCTAGTCATTTCTACTTTTTTTTTTTTTTTTGGCAATCTCATTACAAGGTTGGTTTGTTTTTTTTAATGCTTGTGTATTCCTATCTCCCTCAACAAATGACATCCAAGAGCAGAATTTTCTTGGGGTACCTCTACACACCTGTATAGGATGGACCAATTTTCAGCCTTGTCAGCACTGCTCACGTCGGAATCCTGGGTTGTCTGGAGGCTTTTTCTAAGTTGATCTAGCTATGTTCTGACCGACTGCCCCTCCCCCCTTCTTCCAAAGCTCTTTTACTTTCTCTCTCTTTTTTTTGCAGAGTTGCTCAGAATCGACACGTAGATCAATACCAGGCAAAGGAAGTGGGTTAGCATCAGGTGACCGGCAACGGCAGTTTCCAGAATCAAAACACCTGGGAAAGTAGCAAAGCAGCAACGGGGTGATGGTGGGTTGATTTCTGGTTTTTTTTTTACTTTTTTTTTTTTTTTT